ATTGAGATGATCACTTTTGATTTCTCCTTTATTCTATTGATAAGGTTTATTACATAGATAGATTTTCTGAAGTTAAACCTATTTCGTATTCATGAGAAAAAAATCCCACTTGGTCATAATATGAAATTATTTGTATGTGTTCCTAGGCTTTGATATCAGAGTACTATTGACCTCATAGAATGGGTTTGGGAGTGTCTCCTCCTCTTACATTTTTTGCATGGGTGGGGCAGGACATTTTTGAAGAACTGTTATTAATTCTTCCCCAAGTGTTTAGTAGAGTTCACCAGGGAAACGATTTAAGCTGTACTTTTTCTTGTGAGTAGTTTTTATTATTATTATTATGTACTCAATCTCTTTACTTGTTCACATTTTCTGCTTCTTTTTGAGGATGTTTTGGAGTTTGCATCTTTATAGAAATTTCTCCATATATGATTGGTATTATATGGACAAATAAAATTTGTTATGTTAAATATGTTAAAATAAAATTTGTACATGTGTGCATTGGCTGTAAGTTAAAATAAATTGTACTGTGTTTGTAGTGTGTGTATATTGGGGGGTCCTGCAATACCTTTTTGTGGTAGCTATTATTCATTTACCAATGAACTATTCATACCCAAAAGGAAGATGTTTGTTGGCATCCTTGAGGTTTTTTTTTTTTTTTTTTTTTTAATGCTTTCACAAGCCTGACTTTTATCCTCTCCTTCCTTTGGAATGCATTCACTTACTTCCTTTCTTACACTAGGGCCAACTTCTGGGTTTTCCTGAGGTAATTGAAAATGTTTAGTTCCATTCTTCAGGCTTTCTCCCATGGTATGGCCTTTCTATTTCAATTATCTTTAATCTTGAAATCGCAGCACCCCATCACATTTCCATTTATTTCCCCTCTTTAGCTCTATCTAGCATGCACAGCTTACCATTATTTCTATGCTCTTTATCTTCCTCTATTTTGACCCCTTCACTCTGACCCAATTTTCATTTGGGGAGCTCAGTGTAACTCTGTTTTCCTAACCCATCCTTCTGATGTTGTTTTTACCTGAGACCTTCACAGTGAAAAGCACTAATTGATGAGGCGAGCATTCTCCTCAAAGCGGAGGACATTGTGAGCTGGTGTGCAGAAGGCCTCTTGCCATCCTTTCCTGATAAGCTAACACTAATTTCTTTTCTCAGAAAGAACCTGTGGGATCCTCCTAACCCTTGGCCCTTCTTATTGAACAGCATGGGGGGCAGGCTGGGCTGAGGGAAAGAAAGCCAGTCTCCTGCTGAGCTGTGGGGCCTGCTCTGGATCTCTGGCTACCACAGAAGGAACATTTCCTCCTATTTGAGCCCAAGGGGCAATTATGCAGGCCTGGCATCCCTGCAACACCTGTGGCCCTGGACTCTTACTGCCACATCCCAGCCTTCTTGCTGCTCCTGAATGTTGGCAGTGGAGACCCTAGATGTGAATTCTACTGTGGTCCATATGCTAATAGAATATGCAACAAAACACAATTCTAGCTATAACAGTTTCTCAGGAGAGTCCCAGGTTTGTGTCAATGACTTGATATATTCACTCATTTTTTATTCACTTATTTGCCCTCTCATTCATTGGTTCCTTCTTCCGTTTGATTAGTCAGCAGACATATCATATTTTGCTACAAGTTTAGTGCTGTTAAGAATGTAGAACTCTGAGAAATAGTCATCCAAAGAACCCATAACTCCTTTCTTATTTGTATAGATCAGCATTTTGGGATAATTAATAGTTGTTGAAACTAACAGGATAAATGTATATGTGCATGAAATGTAGTGGGACATCTACTGTCAAAATTGATGAAGCTCGGGTACTGTAATGTGTGGAAGTAGTGGCAATAGATCATCTGATTATACAATTCAGTTTATTGATGTAATTTAGTAGAAAAGGCTTTTTACCTCCTACGTGTCTATACTATCATTTCTTTAGTTTTATTTTAAAATATAATCTCATTTTTCCCCATTTTTCCATCACATTACTTTCCTCCCCACTTCCTTCATTGCCAGCCACTTTAGCCTCAGGAAGATCATCTGCTATTACATGCATCTCCATCAGTCACTGGCTTGTTCACTTCATCTTCTATTATTGTCACATATTCTCTCACCTCTAAGTTTGTGCCTTATAAAGTAGAACTCCTTTAGAAACTGCACATAGGGAATGTGACTTCCACAGTTGTGGCAATGTGGTAATATGGGCACAGAGCTGGTATGGATGCGGGCCACTTGGGGACATAACCCCATTGATACTCACCAGAATATTTTTGTTCACCCCCTTAGAGAATGCATCTGTCTGGATCTAAAGTGGCCATCCTTTTAGCCTGGGCTCTGTTAGATCGGCACCAAGGGGCAGCTGATTAACCTAAGCAAATAGTTAAAGCAGACATTCAGCAAATGATGCACATGACTTACCTTGAATTTAAATATGCTTCAAGCATTTGTCTGCCAGTCTTGTGATTTGGAGAAGTGATCTTTCCTTTGGTCTTAGGTCCATTTGGTGTGTCAAGTTGTGTTTCTCGCATAAGCTTCATGAAAATTGCATGATTTGTGATTTCCAGGTTCAGTTCTTTTAAAGTGGGATAAGCCATGGGAAGCAATGTGAATGCAGAACACCTTTAGATTTTTTTGTGATTTTTATGATTCTCCTCACTCTCTTAGAACTGCCTCGCCAAGACCTAATTTGGCAGCAGTTTCTGCTTAGCTACTTTGATTTTTCAAGTCTTTCCAAAGCATTCAAGTTGGTTTTCTTAGAACAAGCAGCTCTTTCTGCCTGCATCCATACGTCATTATGCAGTTACTGTATTATCTGAAACTGGCCTTTCCCTGTGAAGGAAAACATGTCTAGGGCCCTGACTGGCATGGAACTCACCCAGGGGATTTGGAGTCATAGAGTAAGAAGGTGCCATCCCAGACTCTAATCATAGAGGAAGAGCACCAGCTTATCTGGTGGGCTGATAATAAGGAATCAATTAAGAAAATTCTTTACTATAGTAGTAATTTCTGCTATTTCTACTAAGTCTAAGGAAGGGTAGAGGAAGAGAGCTTTACTCTTGTATCTCTTAATCTTTCTGGAAAATCTCAAAGGTTTTATGTTCCCTCCAGAGAGTACAGTGAGAAGGCTGGGGGAGGTTGCTCTGCTTCCTGGTGAAGCAGGGAGGGTAGCTGCAGGTCAAAAGCCAGGCTAGGGAGTAAAGGCAGGTGCACAGACCTGTCCTGGGGCCTGGAGAAGTGGGTGCTCAGAATGCCAAGGTGTTCCTTGAAATCCCAGACCCATGTCTTCAGGCCCTACTGGTCTACTGTGTCTTCCATGATACCGCCATGAAAGGAGATGGAGGCATGGGGGCAGAAGAGCTAGTACTTATGATAAGAACCTTTGTTTAAGCCCCATGACACTACCATATGGTCTGTGACTGAGAAATTATGTTTCTTGGTATGGCCCTTTCAGGTCCCAGTGGGGCCAGGCAAAAATCAAAAAACAAAAAAAAAAAATTCACATGGTCGATAATATGCTGTCTGTTGTGTGGGTCCTCAGTGGATAGTCAGGATCTGAAGACCAGTCCTCTGCTATCCAGTCTGAGGCCCTTGACCTTTTTGTGCTTTTCCTAAAATCCCAGATGCTGGGCTGTATAGATGGAATCAAATTAGAGGGGCTCTGTGCTGCAGATCTTAGCAAGTTGCCCAAGCCAGGTAGCCCAGTTCTGGTCACCCCTCACTTCCAGGAGTGTCTAGAAGGACATCTGGGATCCCTTTCCCCAGAGAAGACAGGATGACAGACTCTCAGATGCATGCTCCTTTTATGTGAGTGACAGCCATGGGAGCATATCAGGAGGGTCTTTGTTACCACATGGGCCAGATGACCCCGGGCAAGCAGAACCACCTGGAAGAGATGACTTGGTGCCCTTTCTGCCCACCATCTCCAGATGCAGTCATACTTTACACCTGGCAATAAAAGTACCCATGTGAGGTCTCATAGCATAGTACATAGGCAGGTGTGGGGGATGTGGGCTGACCGATGGGCTTTCCAGGGTCACAGGCATTTCTGCTTGGTCCTGAAAGATGACAGGCAGGTTGCCAGGTGAGAGGGAGCTGAGGATCCAGGAATTGGGAACAAAATGTGTTTGGTGTTTGGTAAAGATGAAGCAGGTTTGTTCAGAATGAGGAGGGTTTTTTGTTTTTTGGGGTTTTTTTTGGGGGGGGAGGGACATTGGTTGGTTAGGAAGCTGGAAACTTAATGGGATTTAGTGAGCAGAGGTTTCATTCAAAAAGAGTTTTCAATGGCATTGACCTCATTGGTTTAAAAATAGCTCTGCTAGCAGGATGGAAACTGAATTCCAGAGGCAGAAAAGCAAAGCAGATAGAGAAGTCAGCTGCTTCTGTATAGAGAGATGAGCAGGGGTTTTGCAGAGGCACCACAGTGAGGAGGTGTCTGTCTGTCTGTCCATACAACACATGTCCCAAGCTAAAATCCACTGGTGGATAAAACAGGAAAAGAAAATGTCCTTGGCATTTCTGCACAGTTAATACAAGGAGCAAGTTACCTAGGAAAGCTTTCACACCCCAAAGGGAGGAGGACCGAATGGAAGGAAAGAGGGGAAGGACCACAGTGGCTTCCTTCCTGCTGCTCCCTCTTGGCTCCCTCCAGCGCCCCCTACTGGCAGAACAGAATGCGGAGCCAGCTGGCAAGGGAGCCTGGGAAATGTAGTCTCCTGAATTCCAGCCCCATCATCTCAAAGCAGAGGACAGAACTGGTGACCTTGGGCAGCAAGGCATATCCTAACCTCATTAAACAGATGCTGATGGTGGGGGAGAGAGGGAAGAGGGAAAGTGTGACTTGCAGCCTTCTTGCTGGGAAGGCTGAAGAGCCAAGGTAAAAGTGTCCTTTGAAACAAGCCCAGTCTGAGCTGCTTCCATGAAGATGGGGCCAGCAGCATACCTCTTGAAAGGGGGTCTGGAGCTTAAATCTGATGCAGAGTCTGTTTTTGTTTGTTTGTTTCATTTGGTGGTACTGGGGATTGAACCCAGGCCCTGGCATATGCTAGGCAAGCGCTCTACCACTGAGCTACACCCCCAGCTCAGAGTCTGTCCTTTAATTTTCATAAGGCCTCTGGTGTCTGGCAGCATCCAGTCATTTAAACTTCCTAATGGAATCGTCTGGAGCTCCCACCTTTCCTAAAAATGCTTGTTCGCATGCCTGGTGGACTTAAGGCTTTAATAGACAAGTGTTTGGACTTTTGCATTTCATTAGTTTTTCTTGAGTATGTTATTGATTTTCCTAATTCCTGATAGAGACTAATTCAGAGTATTTCCTTGTTAGACCTCATGGACATTTGCCCTCATCCAAGTCACTTAGCCTTTGTGCTCTAAGCATAAAGATTAGCAGCTTTCCATGGCAGAGAACGACAGATGCACATTCAGTTGCTCAGAGCTAGTGATTTACCTCTATTTCAGACAATTAAACAAACATAGCTGTGGGTCAGATCAAGCTGGAAAGGCAAGGAATGTGCTCTGTGGTTAGAAAGACCTACAGGAACCATTTTTAATCTCACGTGTTATGTGTTTTGTCATAGCCACCCATTCTTTCTCCAGCCATCTAGAGCATGCTAATTTTGCAGCATTTGACCATATTCAGGATTGTGACCTTACCTGTACTGTGCAAAAATGTTCTAATGTCCTGACCTCTATCACCCTACCTCTGGTGCCAGAAGGTATTTCCTACCTGACAGCTTCAATCAAGCTGTTCCCCAGCCCCAACTCCTTTGGCTCCCTTGTGTTCCCAGAATTAAGAATTGACTTCTAGAGCCTTATCTACTTGCTATTCTAAAACACATCCTTCACTAGCTTGTGACTGTTCTTGCTCCTGAGTATCTTCTAACCCCACCCCTTGAAATCCTACCTGTCTTTCAAGCCTATTCAGATGTCATCTCCTTCATGAACACTGTATAGACCCCAGGTTCCTAGACTGCTTGGTGACTTCATTGTTTTCTAAAGGGGTTGCTGTGCTTGACCATCTACAGGTGACTCTGGGTTCTTACCTCTACACCCTGTCCCTCCCCTTACTTTACATGCCATGCCATGGGTCGTCCCAGAGCACAGAGTCTTGACAGGCCAGGGTCTTTTGTACCTGTAGACTCTCCACTGAAATCAATGGAGCAATGTCTCAGGCATCTCCATGCCACAGGAGGCCTCTGGTGACCTAGGGTGGAAAGAGAAGCAATTATTTGTTCTACTTCAGAAATGGAAACCAGACATGTAGCATTCATTCTGAGTTTTGCTACATTTGTTTACGCAGCATCTCTCTGTTCAGGGTTGCCTTAACAATGTTCTGGAGCTCATAAAGAGGTCTCTTCACAGGGTATGCAGAGTCCCTGGAACTGCAAAATATAATAGATGTTCTGTGTCTAATGGGGACTGTAATGAAATATTTAAGAAATGTTGGGTTAAAGGATTAAACAAGCCTTATCAGGACCTTTAACATACTGATGCATGTTGCAGAGTTCTGAGAAGAACATTCATACAGAGCTCTTTCCACACGTATTTCACTGTAGGAATTTGATGGAGGCGCATCTTGAGGATTTAGCATTGTCTCATGAACATGCTTTGGGAAGCATGATTACATTGTGGATGACCAGCATCTATTTCACTACAGACTTTGAACAGTAAAAATCACATAAGCCAGCATTGGTGGTAAGGATAATATTAATGACTTCCCAGATGGTATTTTTTTTCTCCAGAAAAAGTGTAGCGGAGCACTCCACATAACAACATGGGAAACTGGCGTAATGAGGCTTCCAAGGGGAGATATGAGAGCGAAGCAATCCTTTTAAAGTGTGTGTTTAGCAGCTATGGCTTGATAAATTAAATTACAGACATTCCACACTGATCATTAAAGCTTATGTATAATTAGCTTAATTAGACACGAGCCACACAAGATGTCCCAAATAACTCTGATTCTGTTTTCCAGTTCTTTCCGCAAAGGTCGCATTCTGCCAATCCTGCCTGTGTGACTCCCCATGGCACGGTTCTCCATCAGACGCTGGATTTCGATGAGTTCATCCCTCCGCTTCCACCTCCACCTTACTACCCTCCCGAGTACACCTGCACACCCTCAATCGAGACCCAGAGGTGGGTCTACCTGCCCCAGATGCCCCAGATGAGTGCCAAACCACTGGGACAGGAAACCATCCTGGGGAGGAGAAAGTTGAAATGCCTGCTTGCCTTCAGGGGAGACACTGAGCAGAACAAAGACCACGCCTCTCGGAAAGTGTGTTTGAAGAGAAAATAGACAGTGGAGGGTAGAAGGAGAAGTGTCTATTGGTATCTTTGCAATGTCACCAAAAAGAAAGCACAGGCAGAGAGAAGTAGCTGTATAATGTTCTTGGGATGTGCAGAACGTTTAGTTATTCATAGAACATATAAAATTTAATTAAAGATTTCATCAGTGGTCTGATTATTGTAATAGACAGGGCCATAGAGTTCCTTGAAAAGGTGGATGTCTTTCCAAAAGAGAAACAAAAGGTAAAATGGCCCAGTGATTCAGGCTTTTATTTTTTAAGCATGACAAGTGTTGGATGAGGAGAAACCTTGACAATCGGTGTTCTGATTGCTTTGAGAAAATCATCTGCAGTTGGGGCTGTTTCCTTAGAGAATGACAATGTGACAGACGGTTCTGCCTTTTCAGGGGCCTCCACCTGGACTTTGCTTCCTCTCCATTCAGCACTTTGTATGATGTTGCCATCAACAGCCCTGGCATGCTGTACCCTGCTGAGCTCCCGCCGCCGTACGAGGCCGTGGTGGGCCAGACTCCTGCCAGCCAGGTGAGGCCGGGGATGCAGGTGGCGCCAGTTCCTATGGAAGTGCTCAGGGAAACCTCCTTGGCCTGTCCTCAGAAAGCACTGGGCCTGGAGCCCAGTGGGATGTGTGATTAACACCCATGACTATCCTGCCCTACTGTGTGCATCTGTATTAATTTAAGCCTTTTTTTTTTTTTTTTAAGCCTGAGGTCTTCTTAGCCCTGGGCTATAGATGAGGTGATAAATTCAGAGAACAGGACCTGCCTGATGTCATCCCAAGCTCTCATCCCTGCCCTTTAGTCATCCTGAAGGTCCACATCTACATAGTGCCAGACCTTATCTCATCCACTGACCAAGGAGGTGTCAATCCTGAGGAACCTCTGAGGGTGGGGAAGTGCCCAGTTCAGCCTCAGTCCCACAAGCCTCAAAGACCGTCACATCCATTAGAACAGGTCATCTTTGCTAGGCCAGTGGTGGTAGGACAGGAAGAGAAGACAAGATTGTGCCTACTCTGTGCCTAGTGGGAACGAGAGTGTTTTCACTCTTGGCAATTGTAGGGGGCAATATTTGCTGTAGAGACTCTCCTTCAGAGTGGCTTTTGACAAGCCAACTCAGCATCGGACTTGGCCTCGGGAGCCCCTGCCCACCCTGGCATAAGAGATGCTGCCTGAAATGCCCCAAGCGGCTCAGCAGTCTGCACACGGCACCTCTAGACTGGGCCAAGGACTTCAACCTTTTGTGTGTGCAGAGTAGAACCTACTGTGTGAGCGCTGCCTGTGGGAATGGGACTCTTTATTGAGAAGGCAAGTCATGGCCTTGAAATTCCTGAATTTGCAGTTATGGAGAGATTCTCTTGAACTTTTTCCTTTAAAGCTGAATGGGTTTCTGCCTTCCTGATGTGATTCATCTTCCCACTTATGATGAAAACATAAACTCTGCCAGGTGCCACAGCACACGCCTGTAATCCCAGCAGCTCAGAAGGATAAAGCAGGGGGATCAAGTTCAAAGCCAGCCTCTGAAAAAGCGAGGCACTAAGCAACTCAGTGAGACCCTGTCTGTAAGATAAAGTGTAAAATAGGGCTGGGGATGTGGCTCAGTGGTTGAATATCCCTGAGTTCAACCCCCCCCCAATAAAAAGTAATAGTATTAATAATAATAATAATTAACACCAATATCAGTGAAGACTGATGGCTGTGATAAAAGTCTTAAGCACTCAGTGCACTGCAGGACACTTGTCACAGGCACCTGGCCTGATCCTGGGCGGGGTCCAGGGAGGATCTGAGAGTTCAGAACACATGGGTATGAGGCAGGGAAGGGTGAGAAGAGAGCTGGGAATGCCACTAGGAGAGGGAACAACATTTGCAAAGACTTAGAGGAAGGAAGAGAGGGATTGATCTACCCAGGAAATAGAAAGCTATGCAGGACTAATCTCAGATGAGTGGACATGGATGTCCAGGTGTGATTCACTGGATTTCAAGGTCATCAGAACATTTGAGTGGGCACCCACTAGGCAGCAGGATCTGTAATTTAGAGCTTTGGAGAGAGTAGAGTTAGCCACAGAGATGGTCCCTGAGGCCTGGAAATGAGGGGGATGTCCAAGGAGAGGGAGAAACCTGCAGAATGACACCATTGCATGTTGTAGCAGAAGGGCCTCTACCCATAGGTCAGGCTGCAGAACAAGCAGAGCACTGAGTCGGGATCCCACAAAGCCTGGATTTGAAGAAAACAGAAGTTCAGAAAGAAAGGGATGGGCCTGGATTGCCCAGAGGCTTTGAAAGACTGAACCCTTGGATCCACCTGGCTTACCATCAAGGGCCAGCTGGTGATCTTGGCAGGCAGTATTGATACGATGGTGGAGCAGGAGCCAGTTTGCAGTGGGTAGAGGAGTGGCTGGGACATGAGGAGGGGTAGGAAGCTATGGGTCTTATTCTTTGATTCCAGTGGGCATTCTAGTCCTCCAAGAACTTATCAACCAAATCCTGATGGCTGGGCCTATCCTCAGGGTTTCTTTCTTTCTTTTTGGTACTGGGGATTGAACCCAGGGGCACATGACCACTGAGCCACATCCCCAGCCCTATTTTGTATTTAGAGAAGGGTCTGAGTTGCTTAGTGCCTTGAATTTGCTGAGGCTGGCTTTGAACTCGGGATCCTCTGCCACAACCTCCCTAGCCGCTGAGATTACAGGCCTGCACCACCACAAGGCTGCCCCCGAGATTTCTAAGTGACTAGCTAGTTGGAGGAGAAGGGTGTGCTAAGAATTTGCATTCCAAACAAACAAGGTCTTAACTCCTGCAGTTGCAGGGACCCACTTGGAGAACTGGAGTACATCACTATTGCAAGACATTTGCTAAAGAGAAGATGGATGGTACTTAGAGGGGAGTGTGGATAAAAGGCCTTGAGGATGTCACCAAACAGATGTGAAAGGATCAGAGGAGGGGGCAGTGGGGCTAGGGCAGGTCCCTCCATGGAGGGTATTCCTCAAGAAGGCAAGAGGGGGAAGCTGATGAGGCATGCAGCAGATGGGCAGGCAGCTGTGCCTTGTAACCATCAGGGGTACTAGTCAGGGTGGCAGGCGCACCTGGAAACCCTGAAAGTGCACGGGGGTATGTGATTCTCTCCAGCTGCCTCAGAGACGGATGGGCAACTCTGCCATCCTCTGCTCCATACCACGAGCCTGCTTGCTACCATCACAGAATTGCAGCTCCATGTTGGGGAGTCTTGGCCGGCTTCCTCATCCTCCCTTTTGTCAGCTGTGACTCCTATTTCCAGAAGAGATGACTGGGTGGAATGAGTCACCATCCCAAGTGCACTCGCTGTGGAAAGGGGCAGGACTGGGCATGCTGCTCTGCTCAGAGTCCTTTGCTTTTCAACAATAAGAACCCTGTCCAGGAGCACCCCCCCACACTCCAGCCCCCGCCCCAGCTTTTCAAGGCCTCTGAATGCTAGAAAGAAGTTTGATTGGAGTGTATCATTCTTCGACGAACAGACTATACTGGAGGATGACAATACCGGTTCTAAGACCTATATGACACCCTTCTCTGAAACTAGTGGAAATGCTCTATGCTGAAATTTCTCTCATAGAACTTGGGTGAGAAGCATTTTAAGGTCAAAGCCTTGTCTCACGTCAGCTGGCGTCAGCTCAAAAAACTGTAGCTCGTAAGTGCCTACGCAAACGTTATCTGCAGAAACAGCCCAGGCGAGTGTCTGTCTGTGTGGCCTCTCTCACAGCCCACCCCCCGGTGGAAGCAGGACAGCATCTGGTGATCAAGGGGCCACTGCGGCCCACAGGCCAATTCCATTTGACCCCGTGCTCTAGGAGCACTTTTCAATTCCACAAACATCTCCGGGAGTCCAGAAGTCAATGAAACCCATTACCGTCCACAGAGGGATGGCGATACCCACAGCTGCCCCCTCCCTTAGGGTGGCCGATTGCCCCTGATTAGACAGGAAGAGCTGCCCCTTCCTTCACCGCACAAGCATCTCCCTGGGCAAGGAGGAGGTTAATTGTGTCCCCTTGTTAGGACAAATGGCACATAAATTGCCTATCAGGACTCGTTTGGATAAAAAGAGGAAGACAGAGTGACAGGAGAGTGAAGCAGCATCATGTGGCTCTGTGTGGGATTTTTTTTCCTTAGATGAGATCTTTCTCTATTGCCCAGGCTGGCCTGGAACTCCCAGACTGAAGCGAGTCTCCCGAGTAGCTGGGGTTGTAGACGTGCCCCACCACACACGTGTGAGAAGATATTTGTAATTGAGGGAGAAAAGCGACCCTTGATGAAGGATGTTCATTTAGACCTATTGCCCTCTGTGGATAAGTCACACGTTGCCTTTGGCTTCTTCGGTGGTGATGTTTCTTTTCAGTGGCTTCTGACTGTACTCTTGAGCAAGCTCATAAGGAGTGCATTTCTTTCTACGGCAGTAAAGTTACTGAGGATTTATCTGTTTGATATTCCTGTTTAAAAGATAATGTTATGTTCCAGGGACCATTTCTATCCACGAGTACTCCATGGGCTATAGAACCAGGGATTGGACAGAACCCCCTCCCTTCTGGAACTAAGAGTCTGCCGTGGTGAGGGGACAGGGACAAATAAATTTCTTTGTGTCTTCAGAGGGAGAGTTGAGCCTGGCTTCTGGGTAGGGGTGGGGTGTGGGTGTGAAGGAAGGAAAGGGCATTAAGGCAGAGGGCACAACAAGTCAAAGGCACAGAGGTGGAATGGCTAGGAGCTGGTGTGGGAGCTTCAGGTACAGGAAGGAGGTCACCAAAATGGCCTGAGTACAGGTGTTGTCACCCTGCTATCAAACTATGGAAGTGTCTTTGAGGATTGGCGTCTGGGTTTTATGACCCAACAGTGCTTTGAGGCTAGATTTGGTGGCAGCATGGCGGGCAGAAGCGAAATCTAAGCATGAGGCTACAAAACTAACAACTCCAAGCCCTGAAAGTCATTAGCTATATGTTCAAAGGAAATGACCCCTACCTTTTAAAGTCAGTGTCTCCAAAGACTGCCTTGAGTATGTAACTCACATTTTCCATGATTGCTGATAATTGCCCCCCAAATAACAGCTCTTCAAAATTCTGGTACTAGGTAGCTGACTTCACCCAGGAGTGAGGAACTCATTACAGAAACAGGGCAGGATTTCCTTGCAGTGTTAGTCACACAGCTGTCTAATAGGAAGATGAAGGGGAACTTCAGTGATTTTCCTGAATGCCAATTGATCTTTCAATTACAATGACTGGTCAAAATAACATACCCGAGATTTTCTAAGCCCAGGTTAAGTGATGCATGCCCAGGAGTGTCCCAGTTTAAGTGACATATGCAGCCTCTCTTTCGTGGGCCCTCCTACTCACCTCCTTCAAGGACTTCTGTTTATGAGCCTTTATCACATACCTCAAATTTTAACTTAAGTTCCATGCCACAAATTTATTTCCTGTCCACCTTCTTCTACTTTTATAGTCCATCAACAATGCTGCGTGAAGTGAACAGCTATTTTCCCCCACCGCTTCAGTGTGGCAAGGTGGTTTTTGACATCAGGGAAGACCAAATTCAAATTAAACCCTTGGCACTCTGCCTTCGAGAGGTGATAGATGTGCTCCCAGGAGCTGTCTCCTCTCAAAACTAAATTTTCTAGCTCTTGAATGCAGGGAGCCAGAGGGAAGTGAGTACTGCTTCTGCAAAATATGAAACGAATCCAATTTCCTCCTGACCTTGTCCCACTGTGTATTTTATTTCTCTTGTTTTATTTATATTTCTTTATTACCGGAAGCTCTTTTTTTTTCCCCTTCCAGGCAGCAGGTTTCTAAGTTACCTTTCACCTCCACACACACACAAATCAAATAGAAGATTAGATATGGTAAGAGAGTTATGGAATGAAACAGACCTTGAGGGC